TTTTTTTTTTTTTTTTAATTATTGGATCCTGTGCTCTGTTGATGATGTAATACATTTCTGCAGAAAATTGGGTTTGGGTATGGTGAATTGTTGATTGAGTCAAATGAATGAGAATTTTGATCCGTGCTCATGATTGACTATTTGTCAGCCCTTTTATCCAGTTGCCATTCTCTCTTTCCTCGATTACAGACGAAATGGATTCTCCTTTTTATGCTCTGACATTTGTGCATTTTTATAAGACTGAAATCTTTCATGAACTTTGTCAACGGGTATAATAAGACTGCTTTACTAAGAAAAGAGAGCTGGGTGGAACATAAGACTGCTTCAACTAGCTACTGAGATAAGCAATATAATAGAAGAATGGGTGACCTTGGTCTTTGTTCTCGAACGAGCTCAAGGAAGGAGGGAAATAATTTAGATAGGAAACTTTATAATTAAGTGTTTTTGTAACCAAAATTTTGGTGTTTTTTTTATTTCTCTTTTCTGTTGATAGGATGTTGGCCTGTGGTTGGAAGAGATAAATCTAGGCAGCTATCGCCAGATTTTCAAGGAAAACGGGGTCAATGGAGAGTATTTGGAAGGGATGTCGATGTTCACGACCGAGCAGATTTTGCGGTTCATAAGGAAGTGTCACATGAAGTGGGGAGATTTCATTACCTTGTGCAAGGAATTGAGGCGAATAAAAGGTCCATTCTTTATCTCTTTCACTTGTGTATAGCCCGCTCGAAGTGAAAATGTGCTATAAGTCTATAAGCTACAATTAATTGTTGTATTGGCAAGTTACTGGTCTAATTGAATCTTTGATGCATCCCAAGTGAAATCTCGAACTCCCGTCTTGTCATGAGTCGTGACCATGGGCTATGAAGTTCTGAGACTTTGGTTATTCTAGCATACATTTGTGCCAATAGGCGTGAGATCTATTTGTTGATAAGAGAAATCGGTTGTTGTGATATTTATTTTATTCTTTATTGGTATTTTTCACAATTTTCCCTTTTGAATGACATGGTAAGGGAGATTTGGGGTTCACTTGTTTGCCTCAATTCCAAATGCTTTATTTGCTTTATTGAACGTGATAAATAACTAGTCGGTTCATGAGGGATATGCTTTGTTTTTGTTAGGATTGTGTTCAACTGTATGAATTCACTTTTTATGGTTATATAAACCTTCTTGTATTGCTATTAGATTTAGAAAGGGGCATGAAAACACATTATATCTCCATTTCACTGCTTGCTCCCACTTTTACAATATACATGTTATCGAGAAGTACATATGTGTATGCATATGTTCTTTATATCCTTTCTCTCATCTTCACTCTTCATCCTTTCCTCCTTTTAAGCTGTGTATATTTGGCCAATATGCAATTGCCGGAAAAAAAAAATAATAAAAAAAAAACACTAATTCTGATTGAATGGAACCAGTGGCTTGCTTGAAAGGGGAGCAAAAAGTACGACGGCCGTGGTGGGCCCCACAATGTCTTTTTATCAAGGCTGCAAAGCACAACAGGCAGTCTCGAGTTGTTTCCTTGAAGGTGGAACCTTGATGTAGATTTTGCTCCTGTGTAAATCTACTTGGATTTGTAGATCCATGTGGAGGGAAAAAAAAAGTAGCAATAGTGAAAGAATACACCTTTCTATATATATATATATGTGTGTGTGTGTGTGTGTGTGTGTGTGTTTGTGTGTGTGTGTGTTTGTTTGTGTGTGTTCGGTTTGGTTTTGTTTAAATTTTTTGGCATTTTGTGGGTTCTTTCTTCTTTGAAGAACCTTGTGTCTGTCTAAGTTGTTTCTGGATAATCTTAAAGTTTTCTCATTTTCTTCTTTTGCCTTGGGTTTTGTTAAGTAACAGCATACACACACACACATTTTATTTTGTTTGAATGGATGCATGACATTGTGATTGATATGTAAATTTGAGATACTTTAGTTCTTAAATGGATAATTTTGGGTGAAGCAAATTAATATTCAAAGTAATATAAAACAAACGTATAAAAAAAAATGGGGAAGAAGTTTTTCTTTCAAGAAATCAAATTTCTTGATATATTTATCACTTAAAGGTTAAGATGAAATTTCATAAAAGATTAGTACAACACCCGTGTATTACACGGGTGCTTATTAAAAAAATATTCCTAAATTTTAAAATTAATGAGAAAACTATATTAAATTTAGTT